TTCATTCTTAAACCCATAATAACCGGTCAGGTTGAAGAAGTGTACAACTTCTCTCAAGACGATCTGTTGACGGAGGATGTTTTAGTACTAGACACACACGCTGAAGTGTTTGTTTGGGTTGGTCAATCAACTGATCTCAGCGAAAAGCAAAATGCGTTTGAAATTGGGCAGGTCCTTCTCATGTTAATATGTTATTACTGTGGTTGTGTATTAATGTGTATTCATTCTCATCAGGCATTAATAATATTGGGTTTCAATGCAGAAATATATAGAGATGGCGGCATGCTTAGAGGGATTATCTCCTAGTGTTACATTGTATAAAGTGACTGAAGGAAACGAGCCTTGCTTCTTTACTACATATTTCTCATGGGATCCTGCAAAAGCAATTGTATGTAGCAATTTGCGAAATCTAATCTTATAAATTCTGCATTTTATCTAGTATTTAGTAACTTTAAAAAATTAATATTGAATCATTCTTGAGATTAATGTTTTCCTTATGCAAATGTTGTGGTTTTCCCATAGAAGTGGTAGACTTGTACAAACAAACATAAAACACAAATAAGTTGACATTTTCCATATATTTGTAATGGTGCAATTCCATGACGCACAGATCAATACTCTTTATGGATTTAGATGTGCTTGCCTTGTCAAATATCTTGTGAAGTCATGTTCGTTTTTCTTAAACACCATTCTCGCATACTCATAAGTTCCATGTTATTGATTTCCTTGTTAATGTAACCAGGCACATGGAAACTCATTCCAGAAGAAGGCTATGCTACTCTTTGGAGTAGGTCATGGTGCAGAGGTAATTTTCTTTTTTTTTTGTGCTCAGTCTCTTCTGCAAAATTCTTATGCGTACTACCAAATGTTGATGTCAATCAGAGATAGCTTTTTGGGGTGGATATATAACTAAATACTCTTCACATGAAGGAGAGGCAATATAAATTTGACAAGATATGGTTATTCGAATAAATTTTTGCAATATATAACCATCATTTTTCAAAAAACATTTTTGAGTGACATAACTATCCGTGTTATAGGCCTTGTTTGGATACTAGCAGTTGGCAGTTGGCTGTTTATGTTAGCTGATTTGAATGGCTGATTGAGTTAGCTGTTTTGACCGGCTGTTTCTGTTAGCAGTTAAATTTTAAGTGTTTGGCAACTTTAGCTGTTTATAGTTAGCTGTTTGTAAATAAAATTACATAAAAGGACATCCCTCCATTTATGGTATATTTTATTTTACAATTTTTTAAAATATCATATCATAAATATATTTTTTTTAAATTAAAAAAATTAAATAAAAAATTATATATATATATATATATATCTATATATATATATATATACACACACACACACACAGATATATATATATATATATAGACATGATATTTATTTTTCATTTTTTTACATGTAAAAATTAAATCTTTACTATATGGAATATTAAATTTTAATTTCATTTAATTCATAATAAATTATAAATATAAATTTTTTAATGAATTATAAATATAATTTTTTTTAATTTCATCTTATTTTTTCGTATTTAATTTTTTTAACTTTTATTTTTATTTTTTACATATATTATAAAATATCTTTCAACAAAAATGATTCTAAAAAAAATATTTTTCCTAACCGCCAAGTCCAAATGCTACTCACCTTGGCATTTCAGATTTTGGCTTTTCGGATCAAAATGCCAAGTGAAAAAGCCATTAGCCAAACAATGGTTTTGGCGGTTCGCTTGGTCAAAAAAGCCAAAGTCAGTCAAAGATGCCAAAAGCTATCCCAAATGCTGTTTTCCAAACACGGCCATAATCTGATTCGAGTCATCTTAAGTTATTCTATTTTGTCATGGATTTTGTTTTTAACTTCAGTATTATGTGGTGTGGTGTAGTCATAATAAGTTCAATTCCAAATGTAAGATTCATAGGGTAAGCAATACATTCATCTCATTTGAAACAGTGGTCTTTTGAATTTTAGAATCATATTTTATTGAACATGTGAAGTCTGTAGTCTGTACTCTGCATATGTATTCTGCGTGCCTATTACTACTCACATGTATCTCAAAATTCCTTTTGTTTTTGGGGATCAGCCAAAATCCAACGGGGCAAATCAGGGTGGACCAACACAGCGAGCTTCTGCCTTAGCTGCTCTGAACTCTGCATTTACTTCAGGATCAAAACCAATTGTAACATCGGTGCCAGCAGGAAAAAGTCCGCGATCAGGGAAAAGCCCAGGGTCACAAAGGGCAGCTGCAGTAGCAGCTCTATCTTCTGTTCTCTCTGCTGAAAAGAAACAGCCAACTGATACCCCTCCTGCACGATCAAGTAAAAGTCCACTAGCAGAATCAAGCCCTTCTGGTATATAATCTGAACTAAGTTATCTCTTTTTCTGTGTCCATGTGTCTGATTATTCCTTCTATGAAGTCACTTGCATTTATTTTCTAACTTATGGGTGATATAATGTTGACCTTCGCAACCTTTTTTCCGTCCCGAGAGAATTTTTAGTTTTTGGTTAAATCTAGAATTCGTTTAGTTTAAGGGTGGAAAATGGATGGGTTAGATAAAATGATAAATCCCC